ACCATATCAATAATGTGATACATCAGCTGGCACGTAGAGAGAAACAGAGTTATGCTACGTTTAAAGGTGAAGAGAAAGATACACTGAGAGTCGATAAAATTGGCGGTGAGAATTAATTACAGCGTAAACCTATGACATCTCTCATCGTTTATTGTTATATCTTTGTTAATTCAAAAGCAAAAAATATGGTGTTTACTCTGTTACCTTGTCAACACATAAGCAAACATTTTATAAAGATTTTTTTTTTCATTTAGGCCTTCGTTTTTTGTTAAATGAGTGGTATTTTTAAAAAAGACGCCTTTTTTAACTAAATTTTTGAAGGGCTAAAACCAAGATAGGGCCAAGTAAGGGCTAATGCAATTGATTTTTTTTAAATAAGTATAAACAATTACTCCCTTCAATGATTTTATTGTGCATTTGACCAAAAATGAGTATTTTTTCTCTATTCGGTGGTATCAATATCTGGATTTTTGATGATAGTGCCCTTCTGCACAGTCTAATTTTGTATTACCTCCGGAATAAGGGTTACCTTATCAAGACCTTTCATCTGTGAAAAATTCAGCTTGTGACAAAAGAGTGGGAGGTAAATCGTTTACTTGAGCGAATATTTTAATACATACACTTTACTAATATTTGTTAGTAGTTACATCTCCTGGTTATCTCTGCTTGCAACCCTGTGATTTTCATTTGTTTTGATCTCTCACAGAAGCTTTGGAAGGCCTAAAGTTTGAAGACGATGACAAAATAGAGATCTTTGGGCAAAACTGGCTTACTACCCAAAAAAAACCTACTATAAAAAATGATATTATGAAGTTCACAAGATGACAAAGGTGTGTAGAGTTAGATGTAGAGTTTAGTAGTATAGTAGTATATTGTATAATGAAAGTTTTGATTTAATAAAGATTACAAACAAAATTCCGAATTAAATTTGAACCATCCTCAATTTTAGTCAAGCTTGCGATGTTGAATTATTGAATTGATCATCATCTTAATTCATGTTTCTTTATTTTAAAGTAAAATCTAAATATGGTCAAAAATCATCATCGGTTTTTTGTGCCACCTAGTGCCACTTTTCACAACTGTACAATTTCGGTATCCGAGATATAATAAAAATAATTATATTTATGTCCATAATTACTACAATGGTATAAACGTATTGAAAATTAGTGTATTTTTGAGAAAATTAAACAACCTTGAAAGTAAATGGGTTGTGCGATAAATAGATTAGACAGTCAAATCGGGTTTTAAAATTATCAATTAAGAAATAATTTGTTTGCAATTAAGACCAAATACTGAATTTTTTAATCTACACTTTCTTTCCGATTGTAAACTAAAAACTAAAACAGACTGATACTGAATAGAAAACCGATGTGTTTGGCGTTGTGCACGATTACATAATTAACAAATCAAAAAAGGAGGAGGTTCTCAATTCGTCGCGATATTTTTTTTTATGTATGTTCAGCGATAATTCTTTAACACGGTGTCCGATTTTAATGATTCTTTTTTTGATAGAAAGGGAGTACTTCAGGGGTGGTTCCATATAAATTTGGTTAAAATCTAATAATTGGGTCATGACAAAATCTTCAAACTCTTCATTTGTTATGTATGTTTAGCGATAATGCTTTACCACCTTGCCCGATTCATATGATTCTTTTTTTGTTAGTAAGAGGGTACCTCAGGGGTGGTTCCATATAAATTTGGTTAAAATCTAATAATTGGGTCATGACAAAATCTTCAAACTCTTCATTTTTTATGTATGTTTAGCGAGAATGCTTTACCACCTTGCCCGATTCATATGATTCTTTTTTTGTTAGTAAGGGGGTACCTCAGGGGTGGTTCCATATAAATTTGGTTAAGATGTGATGACGGCATCTGCACATTTTTGAAGTCGGTTTTTTTAAATTTTTAATTTCTAATTTTTTATTTATTATAGATACAAATTAGCTACAGCATTGAATATTTTATAAATAATTATCATATACATAAATAATTGGATAATTGCAAATAAGTAAAGTTCTTTTTAGCTAAATGATTTTAGATTTTAGTTATATTTAAATTAATAAAATCTTAAAATATTTGTCCTTGTTTAGTTAATATCGATTGTTGCAATTTAGATCTATAAAGACCTATCGAATTTAGGTTTTTAAATTCCACCGGAAGTGCGTTACATATTTTAGGACCGAGGTATAAAACAGTATTAGATTCGAAAGCAAATATAATTAATATCACAGTATAATACTGACAGTGATTCGTATCCGTGATCCGAAAAAAAGGATTCGAATCCCTTGATTCGATTCCTTTTTTTTTTTGAAAAAGGATTCGAACATTGGATCCGTGATTCGAATCACATCTCGTGATTCGAATCAATCCATTTTTCGAGGATTCGTCCCAGCTCTGCTATGAAACAACTGATCCGAAGAAAAGTGCATTCGTTTTATTTACAAAAAATGATACCTACTTTGGATAAACTTTTAGTAGACATTAATGAAGACAAAACTTTACCAAACGTTATTAAAAGAGACAAATTGTGGAAAACTTTACATGAATTAGACTTTGTTTGGGAGAAGAACGATAGAAAATATGCGCTCTTAGAGAAAAATAAAATTATTTGTTGGGAGGAGGCAATTTAAGGGAAATTAGAAAATTAAGAAGAGAAAACAAAAATATTTTTTATTTGAATGAAACATGGATAAATGAAGGACGTTTTGTAAAAAAGTTTGGCAAGATAAACAGGTTACAAATGCTCGTCAGGCATTTATAGAAGGTTTGTCTACTGGCTTAAAATTTCCAAATGGTAAAGGTCGCCGTTTACTTATCACTTATATTGGAGGAGATAAAGGATTTGTTGATAGGGGCTTGTTAGAATTTGTTTTAAATTCTACGAAAGACTACCACGAAGAAATGAGTGCTGATGTTCTTGAGGAATATTTCAGTCAAATGACAGATTTATTATCCATCAATTCTGTAATAGTTATGGACAATGGGGTCTATTCTGTAACAATTCCTTTATATTTAACGGCCTTTAAAAATATTTTCTTCTTTACTTCTGTCATTATTTAAACGGATCTTTAAAATACATTAGAGGACTAGCTATCTTAAAGAAATCTGTTTAAATAATGACAGAAGTAAATTAACGAATACGAACATGTTTTTATAGGCCGCTTATATTTTTAAAGCCCGGTAAATATAAAGGAATTGTTACAGAATAGACCCTATTGTCAGTTACCATTCAAGATAAAAGGAAGAGTTATGTAACACTAAATGAAAAAAGCAAGAACTCTCCGATTGGCTAATAATCAAAGATATAGTGGCAGAAGAGGGATTACTCAAAAAAGAGCTATTGCAGTTATGTAAACAACATTCACCAAAATTTAAGAAGTATAGTGTAGATGAAATAGCAAAAGAACATACTAAAGTTTTGCGGTTACCACCTTATCACTGTGAACTTAACCCCATTGAATTAATCTGAGCTCAAATGAGGGGACATGTCGCGAGAAAAAATACATTTAAACTTCAAGATGTTCATCAACTATTATGTTACTCCATATCAAAGATTTTACTGGATAATTATTGACAAAACGCTATAAGACATGTCATAGCAGAGGAAGAGAAATTCTGGAAACTTGATATGTTAATAAAGGAAAATATAAACAATTATTATTTCTGTGGAAAGTGAAGAAACTGATGATGATGACTCCTTATCGGAAGAAAACGACTTATTTAATTAGTTATGTAACTCTATATTTATTCGACGCTAGTACCCGAATAAAAACAAACAAATTTATATGGAATCACCCAGGGGTCGCTTAACACAAGGCTGTTATCTAATTTTATTGTTTACAACTTTTTAAATTTGCATCGTTATGTAATACTCAATGTGCTGGTTCGTAAATGATAAATTTGGCAACCTTGTATTGTTCAAGTATGACAGCATCATATTAAAAATAGGCATTTGTTTCATTATGTGTTTTTAAAATGTTTCAATAAAAATATACTACTAACATTGGTTTTTATTATTAAACTAGACAATTTAGTATTAAAAATGGAGAGTAAGGATTTTCAAATTATTTCTCATCGATCTCAAAACTTGGTGAAAAATACTTTGTACAGTCATTGCGTTGGAGAGAAAAACGGCCCAGCCAAATTGGTGGAGGGGGTAAATTTTAAAAACACAACGAAAACTTAAAAATATACTAAAAATCAGCACTAAGAAAATAATACACGCGCACTACTTTAAAACATTGGCTAAAAAAATGGACTAGCGAAATTGGTGAAGGGTTTAATATTTTTTGTGAACAGGCATAATGAAAATGTTAGGTAAATAAGTTTTTGGGAGACACGTACTACTTGTAATGCCTATACCTACGTAAGCGCCCTAGTTTGAACCCCGTGTTTTTTTGATTTCGTTGGATTCGTATAAGCACACTTTAATAACAAATCCAGTTATAAGAAAATAAGTCACAAATCTACACGCTGGCTATAGGACTATTAATCTTTAGCATTTTAACTATTGTACCTCACTTTTACTCTCATGTTTACAAGAAAATATATTTAGATTAAAAATATTTTCGAATATGATAATTATTTTGATAGATAAGTTTTAAATATTATTTATATTAAATACATTAAATTGGTTAACAGGGTAGGAAAACATAAGTGACAATGCTTTTCTTATTTACAACAAGATTAATAACAAAATTCCATTCTACCTGACTATTGAAAATAAGTTTCGATTATCACTCATGGTCATTGAGGTCAAAAGACAATTTTGATGTAGAGTTTACAAGTAAATCCTTTTTAGTAAAATCTTCGTTGCATGAAGGGGTTCGCGTTTTTAATGCTTTACCTGACAAAATAACACTTATTCCTAGTGTAGGTATGTTTAATAAAAATATTTGTCAATTTATTATCACAGATAAAAATATTCTATTACAAAGCAAATTGTAAAATATTGTATTCGTTTTTTAAATAAAATAATAAATAAAGAAATAGCAGCTTACCAGTAAAATGCAATTTTCTCTCCATGTCCATTTCTGACGTTCCTGTCCAACAAATTATAACAAATATTTGTTGTAGCTCCATCCATCCACTTAGTAAAAATAGGTCCTTTAGTTATGTCAAAATTAAATGTATGAAACTTGTCATAATTTATAGGAGTCTCCCAATGGAACTGTTTAGCGATGTCACCCCAAAACTCGTCGGGTTTGTCGATAGATTTTTGATACATCTCTTTGTATTGGGACATCGATGAGACGTAGGCCGATTTGGCTAGCGCAGGGTTCGGATCGAACACGGTTTTTTCTGAAGGCATCTTGACTGAAACTAAAACACTGTGTATATCGGAAAATACACCGTGTTCACGCGGCTGGTGTCTTGTCAAAACTGAACGGCGTAGCGGCGAACACAAAACACGCGAGTTTCGTGGGTATCGAAAGATAATATCCAACCAGCTTGTGTGATGGAGTTGCGCGCTTTGAACGCCGCTTTAACGATTTTGGATCCAGAACTGTTTTTGTTAATTTAAGCCGCAATCAACTGTATAAATGCCTATAGTTGATAAAATTTAACATATATACATACTTTTAGGTATCGTAAATAAAAAGTACATATTTACCTACTTGAATTAATAAAATATTCAATAATATAAAACGGTATACAAGATTTTTCGGTCATTTCGGCATAAAATTATTTTTGTTTATTTAGGGTCAGTTTTTTAATCAAAGTTTAAACTATGTTCAGTAAAAGAACTGGTTTTAATAGCAAGATGGTGTATATCGAATGTAGTTCACGTCTGAACTTAATTTAAACTATCCGAAAAATTAATCCTTCAAAGTTGGGCGTTTGTATTATTTTACTGGATACCTATTTAACATAACCTCTATTTCTATTTGTCATCCCATTTGTCATTTAATTGTGTAAAGACGTGTTTTTATTGTGGAAAACGAAGTAAAAAGAATATCCGTACTCTTCATAGGTAAATAAAACTATTATATTTTTAATAATTTGTTAATAGATCTAACTATTTTGTCGAAATAAACTGAAACAAATACTCCCTAATTTACACATTATTATACAAGCATACAAGAATAATAATAATAATAATAATAATAATAATACTCTCCCTAATTCACCCCCTTACGAGTGAATTTTAACCCCTGAAGTCGACTAAAAGACTTGTGTAGGGGAAGGGACGGCTATTATTATTATTTGCCGTGGCGCTCCGGGGCGACTTAAAGATGATTGATGGTGCCATTTGACTTACAGGTGAGGAAAACATGGAAAACCTCACCCACCATCATCGAGACGGTAATGTATGGCGAATTTTTTAATCTGCATGTCATATCAACAGAAATTGAATTTCTATTAATACGCCACACATCAAATCCAAAAGTATGGGTATGAACATTTTTAATGTATTGATAAAACACAAACGAAGACTCTGTTGGTAATGCATTTAAAAATACTTTATATCCTTTTTATATTTTAATAAAAATATTACAAGAAATATAAATGTTTATTTTTTCACCTTTTTCAACAATTTCCTCTATTTCATTTAAAATATATATAAATCAATATTTGTATAAGTGTAAAAATTATGTAAAGCCTTTAAATTTGTTCTTTATTTAATTGTAAATTACATTCTAATAGTCTACACAAAATTTAAGTCATATAACAGTATTTTCCTAGAACAGTTTTTAAATACATATATTTATGAGCTGAACAAGTTTCAATGTGTTTTGTATAGTGTAAAAATGGTTAGAGAGACAACAAAAAGACCAAGTATTAACCTGGATTAACAAGAATAAGAAGAAGAACTAATCAAATTATAGGTTAGGTATGTCAAATTATCCTGTACTAATTTGTCCCAATCGGCCAGCAGTGTTACACTTTCGGTCTCCTTATTGGAACGTATTTTTAGTATGTCAAATATAGCCTATTTTCTATCCAGTAAAATCACATACTTTGATTTTTCTTTTACTATACGGATAATGGTCGCACTGCGCAGCTTTCTGAGTGCCTTTAAAAAGGAGATAGAAAACTCCGCCATTTTGAACCATTATTACGTGTTGCCTACATCTTGGCGCAATATTTTTAATAGGTGCGTTTTAATCATCCGCTTCTGCTTCGGAATTGTCGGTTTTCTTGTTTTAATCTGACAGGTTAAAACGACTAAACCGACAATTCCGGAAGCAGAAGCGGATGATTAAAACGCACCTGATATTTTGCTTGCTGCTGTCAGTGTCAGTGAATATTATTTTTGAAGTCACAGTTTATTGCTAAAAAATCAGTTAGCTCACTCGGACCAGTTGAAAGTTTCAAAATAACATCCACTCCAGGGATACAAATTCAGGATACGCCGAAGACTGCTGTTTTATTACAGGCGGTTGTCATATATTGTATTATCCGAGTTGCACAGTGTATAAACTGAAACATTGATATCAAAAGTGCCGACGCAGAGTGAGCAATCTGATTCTTTAGGTGAGTTCGGGCTGCGCACTCCAGAGTGGAGTGAAGTAAATAGGCGTAGACGGAGTGCGCATATGGTTTTACTCTTATTTACTCTCAGAGTTCAGTGTCAGTTGTCAATGTGACATACTAATACCTAAAACCTAATCGTACTTATCAGTTACAACCGTATAAATTTCTTCCATATTAATGGTATGCACGGGAACCAAATAAAACGTATTTTCACTTAAGAATTAGTCACAATTATCTTATTATCGATTTAAATTACCTTATGCGCATGCCCGATCCACACTCCACTCCACGATCTCCGAACGGTCAAAAAGGAACTTTTATTTTAACTCCTTCCGTTCCCGAACGCCTTAGGTACTTTAGGAGTGAATATAGTGAAAAGAGTGCGTAGCCCGAACTTACCTTTTAGCTGTAAACTGTGTCACAGGGTTTAAAATGGCCGCGCCCTATGTTGGGCGTGTCGGACCTCTCTCTTGCCTCGTATAGTAATCAAAGTATGTGAGTAAAATAATCACATAAGAATATGAAGTCTAGAGATAAGGAGGCGAATCGGCCTTGGTAAAATTTTAAATTTCCGTTCCTATTTTTATGGAGTTCCAAAAAACTACTGTAGTTGGCGGGTGGCAAAATAACGACGTCTATTTTCTATGCAAGTCAATGGGAATTAAAGTGATTTTTGTAAAATTTAGTGAAAAGAATAAAAATAAGCTAAAATAAAGAACCTGACTACAAGTAACAATGATTACCAAAAACCGGCAAAGCAGGATTTGCTTCGTTTCGGGTTGAAAAACGGGATATAAATCCGATATAAAATTAAAGAAAACACAAGGAGATAAAAATCCAAGTCTTTTTAAAGCTCCTAGTGTAAGTAAAATAATGTATTTATTTCTAAATAATATATATTTATTGTAAAATAGTCATAACCCGTATCTTACGGAGTGTAGTTTATTTAATTACAAAATTCTATAATAAAAAATAGTAAAGTCATAAATCCTGACTTACAAATAACAATAATTACACATTAAATTTAACTTACTAGAAAAGAAAATTTGCTTTTTTTAGCTTTTTTGTTGTTAGTTGAAAAGTTACTACTGTTATTTTTCTTTATTGAACTCCAAGTCATTGCAAATATTTTTATAGGATCCTAAACGTTTAGAACAATGGCAGCATGTAATTCCTAGGGCTACTAAAGTACTATGTAGTTTTGATTCTGTTTGCGAGCTACACTTTTTAGAAGATAATATTTTAAAATTTGATGAGACTATTTTAACTAATGGTACTGTTAACAAAATAAAAAGGGAAAGGCCGAGATTAAAGAACGAAGCAATACCATGTATATTCCTGAATCTCCCTTTATACTTATCCAGTATTAGGTAAAGACGAAAATCACCATTTAACCGAACTGAATTTGTTAGAATAAAAAAAAGGAAAAAATACTAGAACCTATTGCTGAAGAAACTATTTACCAGGATGATGAAATTGTAGTTGTCGAATACAAAATTACCACAAAACTGTTCTTACCAAATTTAACCATTTAACAAGCCTTTTCAAATTTGGACATACCTAATTTTCATTTTATTTAGATAAAATTAAATAATGAATAGTAAATAATGTTTAACATAAAGACTCATTTATAATTAATACCAACAGTATTTTCTGTACTTTAGTATGGATATGTTATGTCAAAAAGAAGGTATTTTTTATATTTCTTTTTAGTTGATTTTAGTTGGACACTTGGCAACACCGCACTAATTTGTATTGACAGCATGATAGATATTCTAAATTCTAATGAATAATTTATACAAATAATCACTTAATGATCCTCATAAGCATTTAATATATAAAATTTTTAAAAAAACGTTAATTTATGGGGTATCCGGTGGTATATTTGAAAAATACTCTTCTTTCTAAAGACTAAAAGTTTTGTAAAAAAATATGTACTTCGCAATAATTACCGGAATAAATTTAATGTCTTTTTAGAGCTTCAAATATAAGTAAAATACTGTGTTTATGTCTAAATATAATATTTATTGTAAACTAGTCACAACACGTCACAACAGTCGTGGATCCTGACTTACAAACAACAATAATTATATATTAAATTTAACATACTAGAAAAGAAAATTTGTTTTTTTTTATAGTTTTAATGTTAAATAAAAAGTTGCTACTGTTATTTTTTTGTCATTGTAAATGTTTTTTTTTAAGGATCCTAAACGCTTAGTACAGCGGCAGCATATATACTATATCGTTCCTAGGGCCGATAAAGCACTTTCTAGAGATGATGCACTTTTTAGAAGACATTTCAAAATATTGTGTGTGTGAGAGAGAGAATGGCTAATGAGACTCCTTTTACTAATGGTACTGTTAGCAAAATAAAAAGGAGAAAGCCGAATATTATGTACATTCCCAAATCGCCCTTTTTGCTTGTATTATAACAATAAAAAATCTATTAACTAAGTTTTATTTTGCTCTAAAAACTACATATATTTAGGTATAATTTAAAAAAATTTAGACAAAATTGTACTTACCAAATTTTATAATTTAACAAATCTTTTCGAATTTGGTTAAATCTACCTAATTTGCATTGTATATAGATAAAATTAAATAATTTATCCACTAAAACATGCGATTTATTTAGAAATACTCGTAAATACGACAATTAGTCCAGGGCATTTAGATCAAAATCACCCGAATAGCGGAACTTTCCTCATACACCAGATATAGAGATGCCGTTTTCTGCATTGTGTTCAGAAAGTTCCAGGGAAAAATGTTTACATGGTCTGGTTTAGCGCGTTTTTTGAAAAATGCCTTCTGGGCCGGAAAATACATTATCCAATTGCATCGTAGCTTGCACCATTATAGGAACAACTGAAAATTTAGAAAAATCGCTCGGATATCATTATTCGGGGGTTTTCGGGGCTGCCGAACTCGATTCTGGCGTTATAATTACATGGGAGTGGTTCTGTGGGGGTGTGCGGGGGGTAAATTGAGGGAGAAATG